CCTAATTGTGAATCAGTCTATAGCATACAGCGAATAAATACACTGTCCATTTCAATGGTATAAGAAAGCGAACGAAAACAAAAGTGTTCGTCCACATAAACTGACTCTGAATAAGCAATCAGATGATTATTCTCCATTATTTCCCTACTGACGTAAATGCTAGCCCGAAATTAGGCTAAGCAAGTTAAACTACTCGCAACGATTAAGTAGTTCAATAGTATATATTCAATTTTCCTGTCTCTTAGTTATGTCCACTTTTTCTCGTGTTGCCACCTTTAGTTCCCTTTTCTACTTGTTCTGTCCTTTTTCTGTCCCCACTGATGTAAGTTCTTTTTTAGCCTCCACATTAAAGTGGTGGAACGCAGATTGGTTGCATAGGTGTCAGTGTTTACGACTCACGCGAAAAAATTTGTCTTCAGTTGAAATACATACAAATCTTGGGATCATAGAAAGTAATGAGTCGTTGTAGCAGTCTACAACATGAGATATATATGAACACTACTCAGAAGCTTTACTAGTGTCATTAGTGGAATATGTAACTCTTCATATTTATCTTTGTTAAGGTGGTCATTCAGTAGGGTTCATAAATTCTAGAAAACATTAATAAAAAAAGCCAGTCTTATGGTTTGTCGGTTTGAACTATTTGTCACCTGAGGAGCAGCTTAGTAGTCTAAATGTCTGATTCCTAGTATTCTGCAGATAGAAGAAATTTAATCATGATGTTCAAAATTCTAAGAAAAGACTATGGACTATTCTATTCACTCTTTACTTTTCTATCAGGTCAGATTATCTCGAAAAACATGGTAGTAGTGTTAAATAGAGAACTCATCATGGGTCGACAGATTCTTGCTCGACGAAATGAATGAGAACGGAGAATTATTCGTAAACGTTTGCACTTTCAATGACTTGGTGATTAGAGGCAGCGTGAACAAGCGTAAGGATATGCACAAAGCAACATAGGTTTCGCCTGATGGACACATCAAGAACCTGACAGACTTCATCTCAATGCTGCTCAAAGAAGTGGAGATGCAAGATGCTGGACACGAAGGGGAGAAGGGGAGCAGATGTGTGCTCAGACCATCATCTAGTTCAAGGAACCATCATGGTCAAGCCTTCAGAGCAACTGGAGATATGCCACAGTTCAAGTCCAACACCCAGAAACAGTAGCATTATACTAAAAAAGACACACACATGTCAGCCATCAAGGCAAAGTCAGAAATACCGCATAGCATCACCGATGAAACCTGTGTGGAAGAAAACTGAAAATGTTCGAAAATGACATTCAAAGAAGCGTGTGTGGCTGCTTTTGGAAGAAAAACGGGGCAAGACAAAGAATGTCTCTCAATGGACACCTACATGGAAGCTAATCGAGGAGGGAAGGGTGGTGGAAGAGAAGAAAACTCAAGGCAAAGATGGACAGGGAAAGGAGAAAGTGAGTTCAATGTATACTGTACTGAATAAAGAAGTGAAGAGGAGTGCTTGGAAAGCTAAAAGATAATTCTACGACGCAAAGGAAAATGAGACGAAACGGGCATGACGCAGATAAACGAGACCTCGGGACATTATATCAGATAACCCGGGAAGAGATCAAGACAGGCGAAACCCATAAAAGATCTTCAAGGGAACCTGATTACCAAAGACGAAAGACAAAAGAACAATGGGCTGACCACTTTAAAGAAATCTAGAATTTTCAAGTATTGGTTTTGTAGGGATTTCGTTTGATTGCATGAAGGATTTCATCATGAGCTGACATCAGTTAGAGAACCACTGGACAATCTGGGAGTACTGGACAGTTGTTTCGATCTACTTTGGGACTCTTAATCAGTACGCACCCACCGAGGCTCCAACCCAGGACCTTCTTGTTACAAGGCCAGCTCGTAGACCATTGAGCCACTGGGACGCGACCCCATGTGACCGGAAGGTCCTGGGTTCGAACCCCGGTGGGTGCGTACTGATGAAGAGTCCAAAACTAAGAAGAAACAGCTGTTCACTACTCCCAGGTTTTCCAGTGGTTCTCTGACAGATGTCAGTTCATGATGAAATCCTCCATGAAATCTTGGATTTACCATCCCCTGCAACTTGCCCAGAAATACCACCAACAGCTTGCACGGAAATGCCAGTGGACACCACTCCTCCAATGAAAGAAGAAATCCTGAGTGCAATCAAGCTACTAAAGTCCGGCCGGGAAGGCAGCAGGACCAGACGGATTTCCCCCAAAGCACTGAAGACAGCTCCAGAGAATACGGCAGATGCTCTCACTCCATTGCTCCAAAAGGTTTGGAAAGAAAGAAAGGTGCCTATTGATTGGGAGAAGGACTACCTTGTGAAACTGCAAAGGAAGAGCAACTTACGCCTCACTCTGCCAGAAGTGACTAGCGTGGAATAATGCTCTTGTCCACGCCAAGTAAAATACTAAGTGGTGTTATTCTGGAGAGTATTAAAGGTGCATTGAATCAAGAATTCTTCCAGCCCAGAACAAACTGGATTAAGGAAAGGCGAATCATATGCTAATCAAATTGCAACTCTACGCATCGTCATCACAGAACAAGGTATAGAATGGCACTCAAACCTCTCTCTACCTCAACTTCATCGACTTCGTGAAGGCCTTCGACAGCGTTGACTGAGAAGTAATTTGGAAACTACTTTTAACACTATGGCGTGCAGTTCTCAAGTCTTTATCAACCTGATTCAACAGCTGGCTGGCTATATGACAATGCCACGTGTTAGGTGATCCAAAACGGAAAAATTAGCTTGGCGTTCGAAGTGCATACAGGAGTAAGATAAATTGGCTGTCTATTAACTGTGGTAGACTGGGTTATGCTTCAAACTGTGAGGAATGAGAAGACAGGAATACGCTGGACTACCGATACGAAGATTCTAGAAGATCTGGATTCCGCGGATGATAGATGTCTAGTATAACGCGAACTCGAAGACTTACAGGCGAAAACCAACAAACTGGCTGAAAAGGCTGACAGCGGAGACAGGACTGCAGGTGAACACAGAGAAGACGGAGGTGATGAAGATAAACAACGAACAGAAACAAAAACAGCCAGCACTAATCACCATCAACGGGAGAGATTTCACAGATGTTGCCTCCTTCACTTATCTGACCAGGAAGCATCGTTTCAACTACAGGTGGAAGGGACGAAGATGTCAAAGTCAGAATGGGAAAGGCGAGATTCGCCTTCATCAACCTGAAGCCAGTTTGGAAATCTTATGCAATCAGCATAAGGAACAAGATTCGCATTTTCAACACCAATGTCAAGTTGGTCGGTTTTTCATACGGGTCAGAAGCTTGCACTGCGTGTCACGAAAAGCATTTCCAACAAGTTAGGGACTTTTATCAACAGCTGCCTTCACCTGCTCCATACTGAGTATCAAATGCCTGGCGAGAAAGGTTTAGTAACAAGAAGTTCTGGTGATGAACAAACCAATCAAGAGCCGATCGCTCAACTAATATGTAGGAGTAAGTGGAGATGGATCGTCATATGCTGACGGGACCATTGAATGACATCGCGCATCACGCAACCCCTCCAGTGGAATTGCATTGGGAAGCGTCCAGTTGGTCGTCCTAGTGTGACATGGAGGAGATCATGTGAGGAAGAGATGATAGATTTTGGTCAATCGTGGACCCCGCTGAAGAGGACGGAAGAAAACTTACCAAAGCATAGATGTGTTTTTGAAGTCATATGTTCCACTTGGAACGCAAGAGAACAACTAAGTACTATTAATTTCACAAGACGTTATGTAGATGTGTTAGTGAATTCGTTTGCAGCTATGAAGAACACTAACCTAATAAACACTATGTTTCTGCGAATTGCATGCATATTCCTGAAACTAATCGGCATAATACAAGATGCACAGTGTTAGTGAGACGTTATGTGAAGCAGATATTATTTCGATTAACCATCCGTAAAAGCTCTTAGAATGATGTCAAAATAACTTAGAACAACAGATTGGCTAACATACAATACCAACAGTTAGTGTTTTAAATCAGCTTGCTTCATATTCGACCAACACCGATTTGACTTATGAACTGAAAAAAACTCTTAAAGTAGAAGGATTTACATTACAGTTAATAAAAAGGCAAATTTATCAGACATCGTGAATAAGTATTAACCGTACCTATCTGCCAAGCATGAAATGCAGATCCAAGGTTTCATTTCGACTAACTTCAAAATTTATGCATAAGAATAAAACCATCAGTGTATCGTACAGATTTGCTTCAGTGTCACTTGTAAAACGAGACAAAGCAGAATGACCAGGGAGTTTGATTACAGAGATTTATTGAGATGGTGATGACCACTGTTTCATTTCTGTTCAGAGTTCTACATTTATTCATATGTGAGGTAATGGTTATACCGTATGATAAACTAACGGATTCGAGTTAGACTTAAGGACTTCAGACTGGTATCATTATCATCCATTAGCCTAGATATATACATTTAAATTTCTGTTAAAATTAAAAGCTGGAGACGAAGAAAAGACGTCTAACTTAATGCTAAGCTTATTATTTATTTACTGTTTTATTGGAACAATATTCTTGTGCGCTACTTGTGAGCTTTTACCTAAAACAAGATTTGCTGTACACATTTTTACAGGTAATAACCTGCTTTCAAACAGTTCACATACGTTTTGCACTGTCTTGTTTTCTTAAGTCCTGGTGACAGTTTACAGAATAAACAACAGAAATCAAGAATCGGATTTGAAAACTGTAATAATACAACAGATAAAAAGACAGTATCTTTATTTATATCGTTTATCTTTGTTTGTTCATATGTTTGTTTGTTTAAAGCGATACAATGAAAAACTTAATCGTCTATTTTATGTTTGACAACATGTCAATAATTTTCTTGAAAATAAAGTAGTCACAGAATCTTGTTTGTTTCTTTTAATACTTAGATGATAATTACAAATTTTTTCAAGGTGACGCCAACCTCTCCTTGCCTATAAATACCTAGGAATAAGTGATTCAACTTGAACTGTGACAGCAATTTACAATGTCTACCAGATTTTCTCTATGTATCGTTGTTTTCTTGGTACTCATTACCCTACTTGAATTTTCAAGTGAGTTGAGTATCTTTTTAAGTAAAGTTTCGACAAACGTTTTATTGATTGGTTACTCAATACAGTATGCTTATTGTAATCACGTTTGGCTGATATAGATGAGAAGGCTGATGTATAAGAGTTTAAAATTCTAGATAATGGAGACTCTTTGTCATATCAGATGTAATCATCGACAGATAAATCCATAACTTTCTATTGATGATATCTGCCATGACAGTGGAACGTTTGCAGCTGGAACTTCAGAACATAGAACAACTCAGATTAAAGTTTAAGTCTACAAAAAATAACGTTCTTCCTTAAGCTACAAAAATTTGTTGTCAATGAATCTTAACAAATATAAGACTCATGTTAGGAACTGCTGTCTACAGACAACAAATGTCGTGTAAATGTTACAAAACAGACTTTCAGAATTTGTTCGGATTTGAAAAGTTATTCAATATAGTGAATTCTAAATTTTAACATTTTCTGGCTGCTTATGCTTCTTAGCATTGAGTGTATTGACAAATACATAAATGAATTTCAAGACCAACTACAACCGCATATCATGGGTAATAGCTTCGTGATTTTTGTACATATTTGAGTTAATTTATACCACTATAAGGACAAACTAATAAACGGATTAGAAAACATTTATCAACTAACTTAAAATATTTAAGGCATCACGACAGTAATTTTAATAACACTGTCGTTTTTTCCCATAAAATCTCTTAATCATACACAAACTAATAAATTCCCCCTTAATGGTTAAGATTTTATTTTGATAAATCACACAGTGTTGTACAGTTATATTAACTGATGACGTTTCGAGCACAAACTATTGCTCATAATCATATCAAGTTTTATACTTATATCAATAATAAATTCCGCTCACTTTTCATTTCAGCAAGCAGCAAAAGCAAAAGTGAGTATATTTAACACTTGTATTATAAACACTTTTACCATAACGATTTTCGGGGATGTTTTTAGCATTTAGAAATTTGCCATTTACCAGCGATATTACAATTTTTAGTGATGTAAATTTTTGAAGGGAAATCTCAACCTTATTGATAAATAGTAGAAATTAGGCTGAAGTTAGAATGGATTAGATAAGTAATCTAAAAATCGCAAGAGCTTACATTGATGTCGTAATATCTCCCACTTTTTATCTTAACACGCAAAGAAAAAATTCAATAAATTTAACATTTGTTGTATAAATATTTTTATTATTACTACTTTTGGCAATTATTTTAGCATTCAGAAATTTGCTGTTTATCAGTGACACTGAAATTTTTAACGATGTAAAGTTTTGAAAGGAAATTTCAATTGTGTTCGCAGAGTGTATAAATTTAGCTAGATTTAGAATGTTAGGGTGAATTAGATAAGTTATCCAAACATTCAGAACACATAAATAAGCAAACATATGAATTTTCGTAACTTCATTTCAAGACTGTACAGGGTTTATATACATAATGTTAACTGACAACAATGATCAGAAGCTATTTTCACTTAGGAACCAACATAACTCAAAGTATATGAGTATATGTGTGAATAATTGTCAGTGGTCTTACGTAATCGATGGGGTTGATACCTAATTAGTTAAGTGATTAGTAATCATGTAGAAGTTATCGCTGAGATACAAAAGAACAAAGGATTGGCTGTTGGTTCCGGAAATAGAAAATAAAATGACTACATAGAGTTTATTATACAACACTTCAGAAAAATAAAACTGGCAATAAGGCTACAGTCATAAAAGAAGCTGGATAAAACGTTTCTGAACACAAAGTTGGGGTTTTTCTTTAGGAACTGCTAAAGCTTCGGGCATATCAAGAAGATGTAAGCATAATCCTTTTGAATGGCTAGATGATACTTCTGAATGAAGCTTGTGGCAACGCTATATGGCCCGAAATAATAGTGTGTTCGAGAATTGAGCTGTTGACTTTTCTGTGTTCTCCTTTTGACAACCGTGCAGGTAATTTTTCATGGACCTATATAGACAGTGTCTCACTGGTACTGCTCTCTGACATTCGCTGACAATTAACATTGTACTTATAAACCCTAGGTAACTGTACAGCTTCCAGTCAATGCCGCGGAAAGAGTCGTCTTTGCTGATTTATGTGTCCTTAATCTGAAAATCTTAGGATCTGTTGCCTAATGTCATAATGTGTCTCACTTTCCATTTCAGAAAGCTCTAAACGTTAGTACATTTAACGCTTGTAATATAAACATTTTTATAATAACTATTTTTGACAATTCTATTAGCATTTAGAAATTTGCCATTTATCGATGATATGGAAAATTCTTAATGATGTAAATTTTTGAAGGAAGATTTCTGCCACATTGAAAAAGAGTAGAAATTTAGTCAAATTTAGAATGTTAGGGCGTGTAAGACAAGTAATGTAAAAATCTTGGTATCTGTTACCGATGTCTTAACACCTGTTTTGAGAGACAAACCAACAACAGTAAAGACCAAAGTATTTGTAGTATTTGATCATGAAATCAATGTGTGATAAAGAATAACTTAACGTCAATTCCAGATATTCAGTAAAATGAGTTCCTAATGAAATCAAAGAACAAGGGATAATTGATTTATAGAAACCAGGTACTAAGGGCTGTATCCCGCAAACGCTATTCATTAATTAAAGACTAATCATTATAGATATATGTTCAGTAAATATGTTAAAAATGAAATCACATCCCTCCACAATAACTAGGCTGTGCTTTTACATTTCAAATAAGTTACTACATCTGAATGTTAAGAGAATTCGGTAAACGTGCAGTTAAAATGTGTCATTTTGCACCATAATACTTTATTGATTTCTCATTGGCTTATGATGAAGCGAACTAAATTTATTTTTGCAATGAGTTAAAGCTTATACATGGGTCATTTATGGCCATTATTTGAAGCAGGAGACCATAGTTTTTCAAGTGTTAGTGGTTTCTTATTACAACAAATTGCATATAATGCATAAAGGGATCTATAAACGTCATTGTATATTCAAATAGGTGGTTCAGTGCTCCTTGGTCTTTAACAGTTTGCTGACTGATATTGTTTCTTGAATAATCCACTTTTAAACTTTATCTATTCGATACCCGTTCCTGACTTCTAGTATATCATGCTACAATGAAAGGTGAAATAACAAAGAGATCTAAGGCAGTTAAACCTTAATGCAAAGGTGTGCAATAACTCAAATATGAATAATGGTAGCAAACTACATTTGAAATACTTTATCCGGTAAAATTAACTCCGTTGCGGGACGTGTCAAACCTTGTAAATACTCCAGCATGAAACTGCATTTCAATCTTTATACACAAGTAATTATATTATTATTCGTCCCTTGGGTTCCTAGTGGGACACACGGCTTAAGCTACACATCTCTATTCCATTCAGTTCTCAACCATCAGTTTCAACTGGGTGCACGACTACATACAAGCTTTCATTCCCTCTTCATATAATCTCATCCATGTCTTCCTCAGACTCCCATCCCCTCACTTGGAAATATGGTTCCGCTCGATGGTCTGAAGTAAGATTTCACTAAACGGCTTTCTCAGCGAATGTCCAATCCATACTGATTTCCGTCTCCGTCTACAGGACATTTGTTACCGGAATTCCTGGTTGCTTATACATTCTGGCAAAGCATCTGATCTTCAACATTGGGAGAAGCTAATTGTTGATGGAAATCTATAGCACGGTGCTGGAATTGTTTTTGGTCAGCTTTCCGTTGTGGATTATACAGCATGTGACGTCATAGTATAGCTGTCAAATGAGGTATTATAAATGTTTGTTGCACTCAATCCATAATGCTGAATCAGCTGCTAAATTCCTTCACGGTCGACACTGTCAAATGTCTTTTCAGGGTTGATCAAGCCTTAGTAAAGAGTCGACTTCCCTTCTAGACACTTTACGATGATGATAAGTATGACCCTTATATTGCATTTATATTACTATTGTTATTATTACCACATTTGTTTTGATTATTCAGATGGAAGTACACATACATATGTCACCTGTAGGTTTAGAGCATTTACCACTTCATGAATTCGTGTATATGTAGTTCAACTAATGTCTGAAGATTACTTCACTCTTTGGGCTAAAAAAATTCCGTTAGTTGGGAAATTGAGGAAATTTTGATAACTAGCCCTAAATTCCCACCTACATGTCATTAGTTTATATTCTGTCATTTGAAAACACATCAAAACGTCATTTTATTTATGAAATGAAATGTTTATTGTTGACTTTGCATTCAGGAAATTTAGTGTTATTGTCTCACTTTCCAAAACTTATATACACAATTTAGAGGTGTTTTCCTTCGAATGAAACCATAACTCATGATATAATCTCACGTTGGCATCAAAATACTGACAGTAAAATTAGTAGAGGTAAATTAAAAAGTAACGTAGATCTATTCACATTTAGCTGTTCACTTCCACAGTTCATAAGAAATCGACTGATATCTGGCTTATTGTCATTCATTTGTTCATTGGATAGTGATACGTACTTCAAAATATAATAGCAAAAGTCTATTTATTGTGTTACAGTGACCCCTTTAACTGGTGTCGATGGTAAAGCAGATCGGCCTAGAATAATTATAAGTTAATAAAAATGTACAGGAATCTATCACAACATGATAATCAGTGTAACTTTCAAATCCTATGTAGTTATATCAAAATCTATTGTTCAGACTAACAGTTTAGAAAATAAGGTAGATAACACGAAACTTGAGTTAACTTCTGCATATCATTAGCAGTTGGAAGTAGTTAGCCAACATGAAGGCTTGCACCTGTGTTGTGAATGAAGGTAACTAGTTGCACCCACAATATTGCAATTACTCATTTTTCCCTTCCAATTTAAACATGCGTTGCCCAGTATCGAAGTTGGTGACTTTTCAGATAATCTGTTTAAGTCATGACTAATCTACTGAAGGATTGGCTGATGTTCACGAATCAGTAACTAGCGTAGGGTGATGATCAAAGATAGCCGCTTGAATGGGATGAGGTATAGTGTTTAATCATCAAATTTCGATTAAGAAACAGAGGACTAACAAGCTGCATCCATTTTAGTGATAAAGTCAATAACATGGAAATTGTGATACGCTGTTTTGAACCATGAATGAAATCTTAGTCTGCTGAAGGCTTCTGACCTAGGACAAACAAGGCTGACTTCTCCTATCACCCTGTAACAAAAAATATATCCTTATTTAACTGAATGCTTCGTTTTACGCTTTTTATAACAAATGCCTTGCAAATACGATATTTATTAGTAAATCTGTAACCGATATTTGTTTAAATCTATATTTATAGCATACGGTACAAACACGAAAGATTGTAAGTCAAAATTGAAGAAAAAGTGTATAGAATTTGATTACGATAACTTGTTTTTCTGTTTTCATATTGACTAATTAAAAAATTAAAACGTAACAAAAATGTGATTGGAATTTATTCAACAAGATAGGCTCAAACCGTAACGGGGAAATAAGGTTTTACTTTGACTATGCTCAAGTGTAGTTAACGATACTTCAACATACAGAAAATTTCATTTTGACTCATGCTATTAATGCCTGTTCATCAGGAAAAAAATATTCAGTGACATTTTTGACAGATTGTTCAGTGATTTTTTATTGAATCTTATGTTTGAATCGGTGGGTTTATTGCCGTGTAAAGATATAAGTAAAAGCGCCACGTCACAATTATTTACAATAGGGAAATAAAGGAAATTCTAGAAAAGGTAAAGTTAAGAATTTGATAATAGACTGACAGAATCGGCACAGTTAGCCACTTCAGTTTCACCCAGCAACGTCTACAGAACTTCCATTATATTTAGTTCAAACACATATTCTAGAACTCCATAATTAGGAGCCACATTGTATTGTTATAGAAACTCGACAGGGATTCTAAAGATTATGGTGGAATTATGAGTTAGATATGTTCGAAAGTTTTCAAAATTTATTATATCTCAAATGACACAAATCTCCTATTTTTACATTAGTTAAACTTATTTGATGCAGTTTTATTGATTGGATAAAGCTACAGACATATTTATCAGTCATAATCATATCAAGGTATTCACAAAAGGCCAGCTACTTCCTGTGTTACAGTAACTCACTTAACTGATATCGATGAATGAAGCGGATTAGCATAAAATAATTATAAGTCAAGAAAAAATGTACACGAATCTGTGATCACATAGTAATCATTGTAACTTTCAAGTCCTACGTGCCTATATGCAAATGTGTTGATTAGACTGGTGGTTTAGACAATAATGTGGATAATACGAAACTTGTGTTCACCGCTATACATCACTAGTAGTTGAAAGTATTTAACCAACAGGAAGGCTTGCACCTATGTTTTATACATGATAGCAAGGTGCACCCATGACACTGAAATTACTAATGTCCCCCAACAGATTTAAACATTCGTCACCCAGTATTCAAGTCAGTAACTTTTCAGATAATCCGTTCAAGTCATGACTGATCCACTGATGTTCATGAATCAGTAATTAGCATGGAGTGATGATAACAGTTGACCGATCGAGTGAGATGTGTTGTTTAGCCATTAAATTTCTACTAAAAAACAGAAGCAAAACTAGCCATATACGTTAACATCCATTTCAGTGATAAAATCACTAATATTTTCACTGAGATACTTAGTTTCGAATCATAAACGAAATCTTAGTCTTGAAATAATAGAGAAGATTTGTAGCTCATGTGGATGATTTGCAATTAATAGTGTTCTCTGAGCTGGTTGGTTTAGTTGCGAAGCTTTCCTCGTCCTTTAAATATTTTTTTATTTTTTTTTTTTTTTCGTGATCCGTTTTTATTTTCCAAATCATTAAATTTGTTTGTTAGGGACGCCACTTGCCAATGTAATTTGTTGTAGTTCATACAATTATTTGTAATGTATAATTTATCTCATATTCTGTTGTATCTTTGGTTTGCTATTTCGAATGAAGCGATTTTACTGGCTTGTGTGCTATATTATATCAAACGGTTTCAGTATTCTAGCTGTTATTTCAGAGATACTTCTCATGTATGACAGAATGAATTTTCTTGTGGTCTTTGATGATGGTTTCTTCTTGGTGTTTTGATTCGACTTTAAACACTTTTTGATGAAATTTTGTGGATAACCGTTCTTTTTGAAGACCGTTTGTAGGTACTTTTCTTCCATTCTTTTCAACTCTGGAGTGCTACAATGTGTTTGAAGGTTTTTAAACTGAGTCAAGCATGGCTTTCTTCTAAATGGTTTCTCCTATTGACATGCAACAAAAATGTGTCTCTCTGATAATGAATGCTTCGTTTTAAGCTTTTTTGTAATGAGTGCCTTGTAAACATCATGTTTATTAGTAAATTTGTAATTGAAATTTGTTTAAACCCATATTTATAGCACATGGCAAGCATGGTAGTAAGTTATAAATGAAGAATAAAACATATAGGATTTAATTATGCTCATTTATTTATGTATTTTTATATTAGTATATTAAAAAATTAAGATGCAGGACTTATGCTATTTGAACTCAATAGGCAGCATATGTTCAAGTTATGGTAGGAAGTGCGGTTTTACTTTGATTATGAGTTGCTGTAATTAACAGTATTCCATCATCAAAAGAAACGTTCATCCTGATCCCCACCGTGTATTCATTAATAGATTATTCTATAAAATCTCCTTCTGATTTTTTTATTTTATCGTATATCTGGATTAACTGGCTTATTGTCGTGAAAAAAGCATAAACAAGCTTCACTGTAATCGAATCCAATAGAGAAATTCTAAAAAAAGGTGAAGAATTTGATAGGAGACTAACGGAATATGCACAATCAAATACTCCAGTTCTGTCTAGTAAGTGAAATACTTTTCTAGGTCTATAGGAATTAAATTACATTTTAATTTGGGAAACATATCCTGAAAATTCATTACTAAGAACCACATTGTACTGTCACAGAAGCTTGAAAATCATTCTAAAGAATATGGGTGAAATTATGATTTCGATATGTTCGAAAATTCGCGACATTGAGTATACATTTCAAGCGACACAATTCTCTCATTTTCGTATTAGGTAGACTTATTTGATGCAGTATTCCTGACTGTATACAATCCAGAGCATAATTTACAACTCAGGGTATTTACACAACTTCCTAACTTGCTTGATATAAATCTGCCTCCAGTCTGTTTAATACAATTTTCCATAAATCTGGGATTTATTTTGTGTTACTTCGATTACACGTGTTTTATAATGACGTGAACAGTAAACAATCCGTAGAGTTACATAGGAGACGATAAGAAGTCCTATGAAGAACAGTGATGTGATTATGAGTAGAAACTTTTGTTTGAAATGTCATCCATTCACTAATATTGTGTCAGTTGTGTTATATGAAATAAAATTACCTAACATAAAACCACCCTCTACAAATAGTATCAAAATTCTACTCTTGCAAGACTCCTCTGAATGAATATAAAGAACCTATTTCTAATATGCGGAAGCAATTTTAGATTAAAGTCTTCCGATTTAACACCAAGGGAATAAATATTGTACACGAGTAATTCAGAGGATCACTATGCTCTAAACAGTAACCAAAGTGATTGCATAAAGACTTGGAACATTTTTTTGTTTGACTAGAATAAACGATAAATTTTCGATTTACTGTTGCTCTTTCCTTCGACAGAACATCGTAAAAATGAAGGTATGTATATATTTCTTTTGATTTTCCGAAATCTCATGCTTTAAGAATTAAGACAGCTAGCTTTCTCGGAAACATTCTTTATCCTCGATAATGCTTTTGAAATAGGACAAATACAATAGGCTGACTAATACTGACTTATGAATCTGGAGAGTAGCTGTGGTTAGTCGTCAAAAAAATTGTATATAAGTCATCATACTACTTATATTGTGAAAATGAACCTTCCTTTAAGTATTTTATTTGCATGCTTATGTAACGTAAAAATATGCACCCGTATAGGTTGACGCTAGACGATTATTCAGTGTTATCTTCGGCTGTTTTATTTGAAGTGTTTTCTGAAATGGTGTCTTTCAGATGCTATCTGTTACATTCTGATTGTCTTCCTTCTTTAATGTGATTTGAAAATCGTTAAACAGTTGAATGCTTTTGTCTTCTCATTTATACAAATCCATTCTATCAACCGTATGTGTGACTTGATGCTACCTGTTTATAGGTCACTTGACCTCCTTTACTCAGTTTATAAGTTCTTGAAAATGACTTCAGTGAAGGGTTGAATTATTTACTTTGGTCAGTAGTTTTCATTTCTAAGCATTGATTGATCTTCCTGGTTAATTTGGATAGGTTTGTTTCTATTATTTGTTATCATATAAATATCGTTTGTTTGTTGTACGGTGTATGGTGGTCCTTTCAATTACAGGCTGTCTTTTGCTAAATTGGTTGTTTCTGGTACTTTGAAGAAAATCGACTGATTGTGATCATGTGATCTTCGGCTTTCACTCCTATCTTGTTTTTAGAATAGTGTTTAAAATAAAAAGTTTGACGCCTTTCTGTTGTTGCATCGTTTACTTTCTCGGCTGATTAATTCACTGATTTAATCAAGTCTTGGCAGTTTATTGACCTATCGTCAAGTGAACATTTTGTATTTCTTAAAAGATCAGCCCTATCTGTAACTAAATGTAAAGAACAGAATTAAAAAACATCAAAACAGTCATGGTATACAAGTAGTCCGAAACTGAATAATCTGATAAACAACATATACGTAAGTGTTTATCTCAACGTAATTGTATATTGTTTAACTCAGTTGCCTAGAGAATATAGAAATTTCTGCTTAACTTGAGCTTAAGAAACGATTTCATTCATTGAGCTTGACTTCCATAAGTAGTCTTTGAAATTTTCTCCTTGAAGCTTAAATGACTAGTCATCAGGTATCAATCATTTCTTAAACATTCAGTATTCAAAATTTTTCCAAGATAGGTGCTTTCTTTGCAAAGTTTCGGGTAGCACAGATTTAGATGCTGACTGTGTAAGGTATGTTACTAGGCTATTCAAATACACTATAGTAAATGTGGCCAAATACTAGCTCACTCATAATGCTGTATATTTGAATGATTCGGTAACATATCTTTTAGCGTCCGTCGACTTCGATTCGCTTCTCGGCTTAATGTCTAACTGGCTAAATCATGGAAAAAAGCTTTCTAGTTAAATTAGAATGATGAGCTTTGAATAGTAACGGGCTGATCCACTTTAGAAGATATCAGTGACGTCAGCGTCTTTGTGAAACTACTGCATGGGAGAAATCAAAGCTTCACTTTAAAGTCACTAAGCCCATGGAATAGTGAACCAGAATATTAAGTAATTCTTCCCTCCTAATTTTCTTTACCTTTCAAAATAAAACCTGAAGTAAATGCAGTGACGCTTCATCATAACAACTTAATAATTCCCTTGGAAATGACTAAAATTCGCAGTTATTTTAATTGTCACTTAAACGAGTAATTTGAAAAATAAATTCATCAATATGCCTTTTACGTATCCAAGTGATATTACCTACGAAGTCAAGCATCTTCAAGCATGTTTCAGCATATCCTATTGACTATTTATTTCAGAGATCTTAAAAATTAAGCTGTCTAGACGAAATATGCATAATTTTCCCACAGATTCTTGTTTATATTAACAGTTCTTTTTTTTAATGCTACATTTATTTAGGTGCAATGACAATTGCAAACCGCTACCTGATGAGTTCAAGCATTATAGCCTCAGTTTTCCTATATCGTAATCTGATGATTTTCACATGATTGAAAAACCAACAGAAAACTGGTCAACCTCGCTGTCAGTGAATCACCTATGAATGTCTGTTATTCGATTCACATCATGACATAAATGTTTCCGGCATTCATTTGTAACGATGAAAACTTTTCTTTACTCTTCATAATAAAAACATCTTTGTTGACGTCTTTGTTATTTGGTTACATAGGAATATTTTCTTTTAGTTCTCAAAAGTAGCAGTTCTTTAGATCACTTATACCTATAAAAAACCGATGCTCCTGTGTATTTCAAATAGACTAAGTTACTCTCACATACTACTAACAGAGTACTAAATTAACTACAGATTACTCTATATAGTGTAGTCAACTATAAACAAACATAAATACCAAGATAATATTGAAACTAAACATTGACTAAGCCCAAGGCATATAGTAGAGTATGCATACTCAGTTGTATCTGTAAACTCAGCTTTATCAAAAAATATGACATCTATCTGAAAAATAAGATATATATGCCTGAAGCATTTCAAACGATCATATCAGATGTCTGCTTATCAATTCAATTCATAAAGATATGACGAAATAGGAGGTTAATTTAAATTAGAAAAATGATAAAGGAGCAAAAGATATGAGATGAAACACTGATTTGGCTATCAATATCCATATAAGTATCACCCAAGTGAGTTTCATCTATTTATGTATGTGTATAGATACGCTTCCTAAGGGAGGAGTTAACGCACTTTGTAAGAGAAGGTGGGGGGACGTGTACCAAGATGACTTAAGAAGCAGTCATAATTCGAAAGGTAGATAAGCGAAGGTACTGAGTAGATTAGCATCCCCGTCCACATAAAAGTATATTGTTTATACGATCCCTAAGACTGATGTTAAGACGGCTTTCAAGATTTTATACAGAAGCCGTGAGTGATGTTTGCTGATATATACCGAGAAGATCACTGTTCATAGAAGTAGCCACTACTATCAGCCGCAGAAATAATCAAATGTTAAGCTTAACGTACATTCGTGGTGCTTGTCTAATTAGATTCCCAAGAATGATGTCAATTCTTATCCTCCCTATTACGAAATGCCACTTTAATTCATCATTTGCAAATGATAGTGTAGTGAGAGATGGTTGCTGGCCAAATTGGTTGACAGTAATTGCGGTCAATGTTTATGTATCAAATATTAGTCATGTTGTGGTGAGAGATGGTTGCTAGCCAAATTGGTTGACAGTAACTGAGGTCAATGTTAGTCATGTGAAAACAAGGTCAAGATGGACAGGCGGATACAGTTAACATATAGATGAACTGACACAGCCACAAAGAGATGCAAGGTTAACTTTCTGTGAGAAACAACCAATCAACAGACTGTATTTTCTACTAACATTAACCTACAATAATGTACATCAAAATCTATAAATATATGTTGATTTTCCGTAATAAACGTTCTGTTGCCTGGCCCTTGTCTTCTGTTGTTACAATAGTACTGTTTGATGCAGGCGGTTACCAACTAATACCAATCAGTAGAGCATACCAGCAACTTCATTATTTTCTTTATTTAAGTCAACTTCTCATTTTCACATAAATTGAATTAATAATTAGATACTTGATCACATCGGTAGGAATGTGTTGCGCAAAATACATCATATCTTTCAGACAAACTTCATCAATTAATAACGCTAGGGAGACTATTCGTTTTAAATATATGAGGATGATGAGTCAACCTAAAAATTTCCACTCACATGTGTCAGTTCAAGTTTTCATAAACACAATAAGGGAATATTAGAGTGAAATTCGGCTTTACGAGTAAGCACAACTGGTTGACAGGGATGGCACCAAACCAATATCAATCAGTTAGGAGTAAATAGCGTCATGCAGTATTACAGTAAACAAAAGATGAATGAGATAAAATGCTTTTTAATAAATTCTCGACTACTGGCTTAGATCAATACGAGGATCAACTTGATAATATTACATAATCTCAATGGTTTTACCCAAGGCAAGTAGATGAAAATCAATTGTTGTGAAATAAGAGCTCAGTGATTAAATCGCATTTCTTCATAAAATGGCGCGTCCGATATCTCGACACTGCTTAATTCAGTAACGTCAATTCATTTGTGTATCATTAACAAACTTTCCCAAACTGAAGTGTTCTCTAGATTATGAACTTTGTACAGTTTAGGCTAGGAAACGTAGCCACGCACCTTTCGATAGACTGTTTGGAAGTCATTATAGAACTGTTAGTGGCTTCTCTACTTTGATGCAGTGTCACTATTCGCTAAATGAGTTCAGATAGTACTATTTTCTTGTTCTTCTTTCTGTTATATTGACGGTGCTCAAACAAATTCCGATCAACTATATTATTTTAGCGATTACTAGGTGGTGAAGAATTTCAAATTCCCCTCCGTCTAACCAACAAAGCAAATGCGACTGATAATAAACAAACAACCACTTTGGTCAATATCAGTCTAAACGGAATGGCAGACTTATTTCACTGTTATCGAAATTCATTCTCTCTTCAATAAAATTCACTCCTTATCTCTGTATTATGGAATTTGAGTTTGCATCATTCGCGTGTTCAGTAGACGGACAAATCTTCCCGTTTTTCGATATCACTTTATTACCGGTTATGATTACATTTTCATTTCTCTGTGAGAAGGTCCAACATATAAGTAATTCAGATCATTCTGCAGAAGTAAACAATTCAAATCTAATTTCTTTCTTTATTATTAAGTGAGTGAATTGAAGAGAAAGACACTGCTAACTCTCAATATACTGTACAATTAGCTTTCATATCAAAGGAATTTAATGTAAAATTATTTTTTTAAGGTATACTATCCTTTGAAATCACTTCAATAAAAATAACCTTATATAACATATCGATTTCTGTGTTTGAACAGAAAACGGTAAAAGTTAACTATTGTCATGAAAAATGCAATCAAGTTATTAAGTACACTGGGAAACTGTGCTTTGAATATATGTACTTTTACCTTATATGTAAATGCTTTATAAATACACGTATAAACACATACACATAAGCACATCAATGCCCATTACTACAGTCTTTCTGTTCACCATTAGAACATGTTGTTGTAATACAAGGAAACAGATCATAAGATCTGTGATTTCCACTTAATTGAACTAGTGGATCTGTAACTTGAGAATTACACGTGACATAGGTATTGGCCAATTCCAAATTAACTGTTTGTCCTGTTTTGACCTATTTTGAGTATCAGAAAAAGAGAATTTAATGGAATATGCAAATAATCATTGCTGTTGTAATGAAAACGATTACAGCATCTGAAAAAAACCGAAATACATTCAATGACATTAATTAACTTACACTTACGCTCGTGTTTCATTCATGAAGGTAAATCAGTGTGAGTTAGGTCGACAATAGATAAATAGCTTTAAAGTGTGCAACAGGATTATACAAGGCGTTCATACTAGCACATCCCTTCATCTGCCCTAGTAAGTATTTAAAGCCAAAGTGATGTCTAGGTCTTTGTTGTAGTTGTGTTCTTTGCGTTGCGTGATTCAACTGAGAATCTCACATTGTCCTTCTAGACAACATCTTCAGTGCCGATTATTATTATTGTTCCCTTGGGTTCCGAGTGGAACACAGGGTTTCAACAGCATAGCTCCATTATGTTCTGTTCTTTACAGTCGCCCCACGACTTCTCATAAGTTTTCATAGCTTCATCATACGATCTCCTCGATGTTAATCTCGGACCCAAGCCCATTTCGTCGTTTCCCACTCGAGCGATGGCCTGGTGCGCGATGCCGTTCAACTGCATTCTCAGTGTATGTACAGTCCATCTCCATTTTCTCAAGAATAATTATTGAGCAATAAGTTCTTGTTTGGTTGGTTCCCATAGTTTCTTGTTGGTAATTATTTCTGGCCACTTAATCTTCAGTGTGGAGCGAAGGGAACTGTTGATAAAGGTCTACAACCTGTTATAAATGCTTTCTGTGACACACCAAGTTTCTGAAAAACATAAAAACACTAACTGACTTGACATTGGTGTTCAAAATCCGAATCTTGTTCGATATGTTGAATGCAGGTTTCCAAACTGGTTTCAGATTGATGTAGGACTGTCTTGCCTTTCCGATTCTGGTTTTGACATCCTCATCCATGCCACTTGTAGATTAGTGAAGGAAATTACCTCCCCTTGATAGTAATTGGTGCTTGTTGTGGTTGGTTGGTTATTTTCATCCCCTCCGTCTTCTCTTCGGTCACTAAGAAGTCCATAATTACTTCAATGTAAATGAAATGACAACCTGTTCTGGCAATCATGTGACTGACATAAAACAACTTTCTGTTCCAAGTAGCGATAGCCATACAATAAATTTGCCGTGTTTCAACACAAATTCGACCCAAGTGGATAAAGTAAGGACAATTTACTTATTATTACACAGAATATAACAAACAGCCTAGTTGAACTCAGTTTTATATATTATAAATTAATATAAAGCCTAAGAGCCAAACTTCTCATTTGTCATAAGTAACATTTTTGTCACTTAGTGTCACGTTTACAGAGCTATTTACACAAGGAACACATTCAACAGAAGATTATTCACCTAACAGACAGATTTCTATCAACAACTACAACTAGTTACATCGGTAACAATTTGATGAATAATCAGTGCGTTTGGTAATCCCATTATATATATATATATATATATATATTTGCAGAGAGAGAGAGACGTGCACTGTTTCTATTTCCTGATTTCAAATGTTTCCACGCATATTCACAGTCACACACGCATTTATTGTGCTTAACAATTTTATTCTATTTCTGACCAGGCTGCTGATTATTGCCACTCACTTTAGGTGACTGAGTTTTATTGTTTCAGGGTGAACTTTATCCTAATATCAAGATGCATCAAGTACTTGCACTAATAACTGATGTCAGTATTTTCTAACTTATCATAGTAATCAGTTGTATATATCGTATCAACCCACACTACTTGAATTCATAAAATGAAGTACAGAAGAATAAACAAAAGTTAAATGAGTTTAGTAAAATGCATACTACTGATTTATATAAGTAAGTAGTTGGAGATTATTATTCTCAACTAATGCCCTATGTTAGCCTCATTGAGATGGTCTAAACACCAGATAATAGTTTCGTTCGAAAGCTTTAAAACTATCAGCCGTGCATGTAAATATAAACAGTTCAAACCACGAGGATTCTTGTTAGCTACTCCAGAGAGTTGACAATATAAAAACACAACCAACTATATGCGACTCAACCTACGTACACTGTTTTTCATTCCTTTGAGTTCCGAGTAGAATATAGACTTGAAGCTTGAGCTTTGAAATTTTCGTGGCAGTGGTGTGTTTTATGGGGTGAGGTAGCTAGCCTAACGCCCAGGCTTCCCTCTCTATCGGGTTTCACACCCACTGAAGCGAGCTTTAAGACTATGTCAGATGATGAAAACAGTTAATTGCAATCTAAATGAGCTTGGTTAGACTACAGATAAATGTGTATAGTAAATTATTTAACTACAGTACTTGTACTACTGGTTTGTTGTTTTGCTCACAGCACATTTATAAAAAAAACTCTCAACAATGTCTTTGAAAAGCTTGTAAATTGTGGGATACATCAGTTAATTATACTTATATTTTAATGGTTGCTGACATGTAATGATAAGTCTTTTGATTTTGGTAATATTTCGAGCAAAACTACTGCCCATGACCACAGACCACTTGCAATGTATTCACCTGCATGTGATCACACAACAGAATAGGATAATAAGATGAAAGTATTAAAAAGCAGCATAGTTAGGTGAAAAAAAAAGTCAACCGCCGAGTACGTGCAATAGAAATGGTGCAACCCCTATCCATGATATATGGAAAATTGCAACAAAAAAGCAAGAAGTTATAAGAACCAGATCAGGAAGTCTTGCAAATTCGTTGACATGATTGTCGGTAATAAATTGTGCTCAAAATGTTACCCAGTTATTAAAACTATATCACTGTGTTCTTGCAGATGAATCTATCTGGTATGGAACCAGATTCCATTGCAGTGCCCAAACTCTTTTCTTACATTAAAACAATATCTACGCCAATATCCAACATTTTGTATGCTGAAATTACTCAAAATCTTGGCAATAAAAGTAACAATCAGGTTAATTCGGGCAACCGTGCTTGTAATACGAAATTAAAGACTCTACAGAAGTATTTATACCTTAATTGAAATCATCAGCACATATGCTATTAACGTTACAATCAAATAATTTCTAGGCGAACATTTAGAGAAATATTTATCAATTTTTACCTTTTTGTAATCGAGCATCATTTCCTTGAATGCAAGGAAATCTGAGAATGTATATAACATTTCAAATACTTCTCCATCTAAACAGTCACTGTTTGGCCTATACAGAAAAAAGAAAAGAGAATAGTCAGGTACTTATATTTTCGGGGTAGAATTTAAGCCTGCGAATAAACTGTTATTTCAAGTTAAATTCTCTTATTTTTACCTCAAGACAAATATCATTTAGAGGTGATAAGTGCTACGAGAAAGATTACCATTTGAGTCCAAAACATCGATTACATAATAAGCGTCGCTAAAACACTCACTATGAATTTGTTCGGTTGCATTGTAATGATTTGCACTTATAATCTAACCAAATTGCCATCACTACATTATATCTGACTGCAGTAATTGTGTTGGATTTTGAAAAAATAAATTAATCAGTGGGCTATATCTCCCAGTTTACAATAATTACACAAAGACGGTGACTGAGAAAAATTAGCTCGAAAGAGTTTTCAGTGAATCAACTATAAGATCTGTTTTCAACTATTACGTTTCTACGCAAAGTGCTATCATGATTCTTCAATCAAAACTCCTTAGAAATCTATTTGCAATCTGTAATAGCTTCACAATATTAATTTAATTTTCACCAGATATGATTATAAACATATATATCTAGTTCCATCATTCACACTGGAACTAGAACGCTTCAAATCCAATCTAGTGGATTGTTGTTATCAGTACAAAAACCTCAAATGTGACAGTAAAAGTTTCTTGACAAAGGAGCACAGGGAAGAACTAAAGAAACTGATAAATGATGGGAGACTGGTAATCACAAAGCCTGATAAAGGATCAGGAGTAGTCCTTCTCGATAGAAGTGACTATATTAAAAAGATGAATGATATATTGAAGGACACACAGAAGTTTCAAAAACTTGAGGAGAAGAAAGATTTCTATACCAAAATAGAGAATGAATTAACCAGATGTTTGAAGAAACTAAGGGAGGAGCAGATATTTTCTGAAAGTTTATATGAAGAAATCAGGCCTACGGGCACGCACACGTCGAGATTGTATCGCCTACCTAAAGTACATAAACTGAAGGTACCGTTAAGACCAATACTTGATATGCGAAATTCTGCCTACCATGATCTAGCTGGATAATTAGCAAATATTCCTACACCTTTGCATCAGCAGATAGTGAAATATAGCGTCAAAGATGTATTTGAATTCGTTGACAAAATCAAAGATATTAATATCAAGGACAAAACCATGATATCACTGGACGTAACATCTTAATTCACAAATGTGCCCCTAGTAGGAACAATTAACTACATATTTGAACAAGTGGATAACCAGTTGATAAACATTGGCGTCCATACTGAAATCCTGGAAGAATCGTTATCAAGGTGTACCATGAATGTAAACTTCAAATTTGACACTTTACACACTTTACAGACAAGTGGACGGAGTGGCGATAGGCTCCCCATTGGGTTCCATTTTGGCTGATTTCTTTCGAAGTCATTTAGAAAATGGACCTTTGAACAACCTTATCAGAAAGTTCTCATTTTATTGCCGGTATATGGATGACACCTTCATTCTTTGTGATAATGATACGGATAGGAGTACAATTATAACTCAATTCAATGAAGTACATTTGGCTATGAAATTCACGTACAAAGAGGAATCCCAAACCAGAATTGCCTTCCTGGATGTCCTACTTACAAGAAAACCAGATGGTAGCATAAAAATAAATTTGCATGGAAAAAGTACATGGACAGGACAATATACACATTTTCACAGCTTCGTCCCTCTCAAGTACAAAAATAATTTTGTAAAGACCCTCAGCCACAAAGTCAAAGCTATTGTTCAGAAGAAGTAATTGAAGATGAATTAAGCATTGTATATGATACTTTGATCTAAAATAGCTATCTCGACAAATTTATCAAGAAACACATGACCAAGAAAGCGGAAAAGGAATACTCATTATCTGTAAACAAGAAACCTCTTTATATACGACTGCAATTCAAGGGCGATATACCAAGTGAAATAATTACGAAGAAATTAAGAAAATCAGTTCAAAGAAGTTCGAATGCTGGCGAACTACACGCCTTATTCTCTAAACGACCGATGGTGATTCCTCGACTGAAAGATGAAATACCTAGACTAGCCACTTCAAATTGTTGGGATTCAAGGACCACTGGATTGGGTCCCAGTGGCTCAATGGTCTACGAGCTCGCCTTGTAACCAGAAGGTCCTGGGTTCGAATCCCGGTAGGTGCGTACTGCTGAAGAGTCCCAAACTAGGGTGAAACAGCTGTCCAGTACTCCCAGGTTTTCCACTGGTTCTCTCACTGATGTCAGCTCATGATGAAATCCTTCATGCAATCAAACAAAATCCCTACAAAACCAAATACTTCAAATTGTATCTACCAATTCAACTGCGCTTGAGGAATGAGTTACAGCGACCGTCGCTCTAGTAACTTGATTTCTCATGCTCGAGAACATCTCCCAGTATGGCTAAGCAAAGGTGAAGTGAAAACCATCAACAATTCGATATTAGACCACCTGGTGCAAACCGGCCACAAAGCCAGCGTGGAAGAATCCTTTTCTATAATCTACCGGGCGCCTAATAAATTGCCAAAAACATCTAAGCACCGCATGCTCCAAACAGCAGAGGCTATTGTAATTCGCGTGAAACAACCAGTGCTTTGTGTGCAAAAGAAGTAAGTCCAGCCACTACTACTGTCCTGGCCTTCAGTATAGAACATAAATTCATGAATTTGTAATATTATCTTTCCTAATTTTTCTGACATTCAATTTATTTTTATGTTGATGTTATCGAACTTTAATCCACTGATATTATTATTGATTCGATGTTATTTAAACATTATTGTTGTTCATAACACTAATTCATTCATTCACTATAATGTATATATAACTGTAGAGCCTGATGATGATGTTATCGAAAAGAGTATTGTTTGTTCAGTATCCATTATTCTGGAAATTTTAAAGGGCCTTTAATTGTACTACTTTAAATGAAAAACGGAAGTGAAACTTTTTAACGTATTAGTTGGTTTATTAGGAATATTTCCAAAACATGTATCGGAGTTGATAGAATGTGGCAAAGAATCCTTGGAAACCAATGAGTACTGTGTAGCTGTATCGCTTTGGTTCGGAAATTGTAAGTTTTTTACACTTGTAACTTCAAACAGGATGAACACTGTAAAGCTTTTTAAAACGCATGCTGTAATTCCATAACTGAGCTCGAATTCAGTCGTCCATTTTTCTAACTCCTTCCATTCCAACGCGTCTACTGTAATTGATACACGTCAAACTTAGTTGACTGTATAGGCTACAACTTCTCACCAGAACTTCAGGAGATCCGTTCTAATATTTAACACTAGCGAACATAAATATGCTATATGATTCATTAAATTCTGAATGACTGATTCGTTTTCTAAGTAATTTTCATCACATAGCGTATTTCAATCCAGTGACTAAATATTAACATGCTTTCTGCAAGACCTCACACTGTTGAGTTCGATCTTGGACAGGATTATGGCTGCATTCCATCAACAAATCTCTAACTAGAACGAAACAAATGTTCAGTGCTCTTTGGCTTCCAGTGGAATTCCAGTTAAGTTTAACCAATGATGAAGAAAATTCATTAAAGTCAGTTAACTGTATAGCTACTTTAATCTCATATCAGTGATTGACCCTAAGGTAGATTTTCTACGTTTTCAACAGGACACTGTAGGTTACGAATTCAATTGAATTAAGTTAGCAAACATATATTCACTAATGACTGTGAATAAAGACTGCTCTGTTACTCACTACAAATACAAAAAGTTACACACTTACGCAAGACTGTCCATAAATGTACGCATTGAAAAATTAGGCATTCTTTCACATAATTGTTTTTCTAACATTCTTTCAACTGTACTGATCTAAAAGTTAATGTTGTTATTTTTGCATATAAAGAAGATTATATAAACCAAAGGAAGAGATGAATATATTTCACTTACGTATTTATTGTGAATTTCTGTATAGCATAGTTTATTCTCTTCAGTATCCTCAAATTCGTTATAATATGCATCCATAAATTTATCTTGTACACTTCGGAATTCATCACCTAAAGAAAAAATTTAGAAATGACTGAGTTTACATTTATTTGAAAAGCATAAACTCTTCACATTATAATATGCTAATAGATGTCAATGTTATAGATCAACCGACACAGATCCTGCACAAAGCATATCTCGTCAAATTGCCAGAATTCAAAACACCATACAGAAAGAAGAGAACAGATATGGAATACCAGTAAATGGCCCACTATGGATGTAAGATAAGTACAGTCTCAACTTTACAATGGAGCATTTAGCATCTGGACATTTATTCCAAGTAGAACAACTAGCCTCACTACCCAGAACTTCGGCATCTCGGGTTATGGAATATAAGTTTCGGGGACACATACAAGACGCAAGAGTCGCTATTCGCTTAACCCCACCTAGAGAATATGATGAATCTACAGTTTATCTTACGGGTGTCAGGAAATTCTTGCGGTAGTTTGCATGCACCTGCTGGTATAGGATGAGCATTGGGAACTATGACAAGCAATAGCCGCTTTGTAGGATTCCTGTGAAAAGTCTAGTGTGCGTTGTCCAGCTGAATGTATGCGTAAGAAGGAAAGATTGTGATACCCATTTACGCCTTTACAAAGTCTCTCCTTAGGCATCAATAGACTGCTATACGGACGAAGTACAAGATGAGCTCTCACCTGGCGATTTCCAAAATCGAATCAATGATGAACGCAAACAAATCACGTAGCTATAACCTATTGATGGAGACGGTCAGTTAAAGACTGCCACTCCTAAAACACCTGAGTAGATTATGATCACCCACCAGTCCGTGGAAGCGATAAACTTAACGCAGACACAGTCTTTAAGCAAAGGAACAAATAACTAAACGCCTATCTGAAACTGACAGTAATATCCATCCTGAGAAACTCTGGCATAATGTGTAGTCTACTGCAAAAACAGTCGCAAAGCCTGTGGATTTCTGTTGTTTCATCCGAACTGGTTGACGCACGAAAACTGATTCTGCCAGGTTTGAGGAGCAAAGGCTGCTAAAATGCAGTGTGACTAGAGGTCCTCAAAAAGACAGTGAACAATGGTGGGAGACAAAAGCGAGATACGGAAAAGGTATCGGTAGTAGGTAGTACTAGATAACTATTTAGATTCATTAGGGAAAAGGGATGCGAAACACCGATGATAAGTAAAAAATATATGTCTAAACCAAGTTCACTTTTAACAATTTGAAAAAAATCTGAGCAATGGGTATATGATATTCATTATAATGAAGGTTTTTGTATTTCCCAATGAATGAAAAACAAAACGGTATTGTTTTTACTGACGTTTCGCTATTTAATGCTAATGACTATTATTATTACTTTGATAAAGCTATTAGCATTAAATAGCGAAACGTCTGTAAAAACAATATCGTTTTGTTTTTCATTCATTGGGAAATACAAAAACCTTCATTATAATGGATAAGTAAAACAGATTCCAGCAGTGACGCTACTTTAACTATCTCTCAGTTTGGGTGACTGAGTGTTGGAGGCTAGTTGTCTTTGACCAGAGACATTTGCGTTTTATCTTTCGTGCTAAGTAATAGAATATGGTGAGTAATATTGAGGTTAGGCAGTGTTAGTTAAAGAGGTTAAGTCATTCAATGGGGTTGTGAAGCTGCATCGACTAATGTGATTGGAAAGTTTCAAGCATGTCAAGCCAGTACATTCCTCATTGGGTGGTATTAGCTGACCTGGGATTTGACTGGAAAATAGTTTGGGGTGGTCAGACCAAAACATGAAAGTAACCTACGAAGTCTTTGACCGTTGCTTTGAGCCACGTAGGAAGATTTAGATTATTTGACTCTCAATGATCTCGTAGATCTATTGGATTTTTATCACGTAATTATTCTACTCTTGTACATTTTAATTCCTTGCAATTTTTTCGAAAGTTGGTGTGATCACGAGCAACAATTTGGCTCAAAATATTACCAAAAAGCAAAAACTTACTGTGTTAACTATTGTAATATAATTATAATATATTTGATCTATTCCATAATGTTCAAACTTTTTACTGACACTAATTCTTCGAATTTCTTCTCTTTCCTCTGTCTCAGTGTGTTTTACGAAAATTTGGCAACTTGAAATGCTGCACTTTTGTGCGAAATCCCACGTTAAACATTTAGCTCAGTTAATATATGATGTGGCAACATGAACCATAGAGAATATAAACAATTAGTGAAAGGTATTTATTCATTCATTCCAAAAGCGCACTCAAATAGAAGTTTAACTTACTCATCATTATATCTTCTAAGTGTCCAACAGTAACATCAAAATCTGATGATGGTTCTTGTGACCTGATCAAAGCAGAATATTAGTAATATAAGCATCATACTCAGCCAATAATTCTTCAAATGCATCATAATCTTCTGCTTCTGTTTGTGAATCTGAAACGATTAAAATTTGGAAAAAATTGGAATACAACTATCTTTGTTTAAACAAATTTTTCTCAAAGCTATACGAAACAAAAAGGCTCTAGTCGAGGGTTTTTATAAGTTTTACTGGCTCCTGAATTATATCATTAATGCCAAACAAGAAGAAACAAAGACAATCAGTTGCGATAGACGACTGATGACAATGAATGAAAAATTGTTTGGTTTGGCTTCGATAATTTTTAACAGCCATCAGTACATCAAATTCTGGACGTGCAATAATGATAATAGCTTAAAGCTAACATGTAATAATATGCAACAACTATTAACCTTCTGACGAAGAGACTTACTACTTTACCTTACTTCGGCTATCTCCTAAGGGAGGATGAGCCGGCTTCATGAACATCTCGAATCATCGCTGCCCAGGCGCGGCGATCTGATGCAAGGTTTTGCGACAGGGTTATCCAATTCTTGTTCCACAAACGGAGTCCGTAGACGGTTTGTAGCCCCAGGCACTCCATATCAACCTTGGCTGTACCAATCCATGTTTTCAGCTTTCCACCCCTGCGACATCACCAAGATGGTAATGGCGAGGGATTTAGAACTGATTTGACAGTCGTTTGTAAGAGAGTTCATGAAGTTCCATGGGAATTTGGTACGAGTGATGTCCCCAGAATCACTTGGCCTTTTGTTTGAGAGTGCAGCTCTAGCCTTTACACAACCAAGTGTGACCTACAAGGCAGTAGGAGTGGAGTATGGAGTCCACTATCCATTGGCAGCCGGTGACCGGAGTTCGGTTCATACGCCTTTTTGAATGGGGCCAGACATCCAGGACATCCAACAAGCCCTTTGTCCCTACGTCTGCCGGTGAGCTCTAGTGAGCTTCATACGCCAGTCGTTGGAGGTTTGAAATCAGGGTTTAGCCATCTCCCCATGCAATGGACGAAGAGAATTAAACGATGTTTTAGTTCACTTTGAAGACACACAGGGGACATTCTTCTACATTCTTGCATTAATCCAGTATTTTTTCCTTCATTATTTGGATCGGCATTTGGAACAACGTGACCATCAAGTTAGGCTGGGTTGGAATAAGAAGTCAGCCGATCGTGCGGGCAAGAACTAAATCTATAAGGAATTAGTCACGACAATTATGAACGTTATTTCTAGTTGAAAACAACAATAAAAGGAGCTAAACATCCTCAGAACAATGTAAATCAGTGGCCTTCTAGAGATTATTAGATGGAAAAATTGTAATCACTGATAATGACGTTGATATGAGATTCATTCAGGGAGTAAAATAGTTATAAGTGTGGATTTTTATTTAGCCCACTTCTACATTTAACCTACTTTACAAAAAATGCATTGTTTATCAAATTAAACGATGCTCTCGGGATCGGTCTTTTTCATTTTTACTACTTCTACGATAAACTAGTAGATAATCATAAAATGATTCAAAAGACACAGGTAGAATTCTGATTCTTTTGCAGGATGGTCAGTAACTCAAACCTGTCACCGAAAATTGTGATATCATTACACTCGGAAGACTGTCGAGGAAAAACCTAATATTGACATAGATATATGCCACTAGGATTAAAGGGATATTTATCTACTGCATTCAAAACTGAAAGGAATCTGTGATTATTGATTACCTGTAATGATACCTATAAAAAATACAAAAGGATATGTGTACGCATGTTTGAGTAGACAAAGGCGAACATAACTGTTTGCTAGATAGAGCAAAACCAGATATTTCAGATTAAAGTGACACCACTTTAGGTATAATGTACCATAGAAAATCAGGTCAAAATTGCTTGTAGCCATTACGGGTTGCCGAGATAGAAGCAAGAGAAGCATCACTGACAATGTAGCGAAGATTTTTAGAACAACCATCCGTTCCTCCATATCTCGCAACTTAATATCACTTAAAATTATTATGAAAAAGCATAAAACGGAAGTCCTCCAACACAATGTTGTAAGTAAAAGGCTGAAACTACGAGGATATTAAGCAACTTAAAAATCTCTTGTATAGAGAGTACATTTAAGGAGTATCTTTCAAATGTGAAAATTTCATCTTAATTGGTTAAATTTTGGTACAACATAGGGAAACTTCAAGACTTCATTCAATGTTTTCCATGTGCTCTATTGTCCCAAGGAACCATTAGCTATCAACCCTAGTATGAAAATAAGATTACTTAGCTACTACAGCAGCCTTTGATAAACGCATATACAAAGGTGCATTTCAACTGTGTTTGACTACAAATTGCTTCGTCTCACAATTTATATCTTATGCCCGGATAACCAAACCCTTTATTCCATGGTCTGTCCCCAACGGTGGAAAACTTTGGTCTCCGTGGTTAAACTGGGAGACGTTTTGACTACTTATGTGTAAACACAAGTGCTGGAAAGTGTTCACCAGGCTTTTCTTTTCTTTCACGTTCCCCAATGAAACATAGGGCTTCACACTAGTGGCTTGAAGTTTCTGTAGCAACGTATGTTTTACAGGATGAGGTTGCTAGCCTCATGCCCAACCTTTCCCCTTCACCAGCATTATTTCTGGCTTAGCGAAGTAAAGGAGTGCGTCGGCCGGGGATCGAACCCCGGACCATGTGCATGGTCAGCGAGCGTCCTAACCGCTATGCCACCGACGCACTGTTCACCAGCCTTAGGACTTATAAACCAGGAAGGCGTACACTACAGCCAGCCATTGCAGGAGTTGCTTTATCATGGACGAAGTTCGAAATGCACCTAGTTCAAGACGCAATGGTAAAACTCAAGATCCAATAATAATATCCATCCACAAAGGAGGATCTAAACACTTTCCTTCACACTACAAGCTTATTAGTCTTGTTGACACCTTGATCCAGTGACTGTAAACAACAATCATGAGAGCCGTTATGGAATACCTGGAAGACACCCTGATATGCAGTGCAGAACAGCTTCTGAGGAAGTCTCGTCTATATTACAAACCTTGCAGCAAGGGGAACATGGATCAAATCAAGGCACAGCAAAAACACCGATGTTGTTTTCATAGATTTAAGAAAAGCTTGCAACAGAGTATCTTACACAAGACTGCTCATGGAATCGTAAGGTTTTGGAATCAAGGGAGGCCTGCTAAACAGGTTGAAGGAATTCCTCGTACGAGACAAGGACCAACTCAAATCTCTTTCCGTGGACAACTGTAAGCAATGGTACGCCAAAAAGAAATGTACTTTGCAAACTTTTTGTATTCCATGTGTTAACAAATTTCCTGTGCACACAAAATCCCTCATGATTGTCCACGCTAAATTCTTGAGCACAAGGATACCAGCAACATGCTTACGTTGTAAGTAGATCTCAACGATATGTTAAACTAATCCAAACACTAAATAGCGAAGTGAGTGAACATGGACATTTGGGCACGCAAGCATCAGCGCCATAAAGAGGGAAAAGAACTCTCTTCAGTTCATATGCGAACCCAACAGTTGACTAGACGAGCCTTACAACTCCATCTTCAGTCAACTCCTTTGGTCATAAACTGCTGGAATCTAGTATATCGCTGGCCCTAGTCCAACATCTCATAAGGCCCACGCGCTATGACTCACAGCACGCCTCCTCAACTATGGACCTACTGTTCTCTCAAGTTGAGGATGTGGATCTCATACAACATCTTCCTCCTTTAGGAAGAAGTGATCATGCTGTGCTCACTTTCAAGTTCGCAGCAACACCAGCAAGGGCCAAAACCCCAGCTCGACCAAACGTTTGGAAAGCTGATATAAATGCGATCGTTTCAGCAGCCAACTCAGTGAACTGGTACATCAACCTAGAGTCCCAAGTAGAAGTCGCATGGAACCAATTTAAACAACTTTACGCCCAAGTAACTGGACCTTTTATCCCTTGGTCTGTCTCAAAGGGTCGGAAACATTGCCCCCCTTGGAGAAACCGAGTGATTCGTAAATTACTCAGACGTGGAACCTGTTTGCCACACTTGAGACTCCTGAGACCAGGAAATTATATAACACTGCTAGGAATAAAGCTGTTGCAGAAATCCACCAATCAAGGATGAAGTTCAGAGCACATCTGGCTCAAAATGCAAAGGCACAACCTAAGAAAATTTTCTCGTACATGAACTTCAGGAATAAAACATCCAATGGTATCCCAAACCTGATAATTGACAATGACACAATAGAAGAAGATCAAGAAAAAGCAGAAGCAATGGCAGTCTTTACACAGGAGTCATCACTCCCTATAAGATCAGCTCTGGCTGCATCAGAGGAATACGGGATAGATTCCGTTGACATCGACCAAGGCATAGTGCTCAACTGCTTATGAAACTAGCAGGGAAAAGGCTTCTCAAGGAGCTGTCAGCTCACTTAGCCGGCCCTTTGACCACGATCTTCAAGCTCTCTCTCTCCCAAATGGAGTGTTGCCACATGACTGGAAAGACGCCATAGTAACCCCCATCCACAAAGGAGGATCAAGACAAAACCCTTCTAATTACAGGCATATTAGTCTCACCAGCACTTTAAACAAGACACTGGAAAGAATCATCAAGAAAAGCATCATAGAATATCTGGAAAACAACAAAATATTATCCAGAGCACAGCACGGCTTCCAAAAAAACCTCTCATGCCTATCAAGCCTCCTCACTGAGGGGAAAGCTGGGTCAAATCAAGGGACAACAGAAGATCTGTTGGCGTCGTCTTCATCGACTTCAGCAAAGCCTTTGATAAAGTACCCCACAAAAGACTACTCATGAAGTTGGAAAATTATTGTATCCAAGGCAGATGACTAAACTGGCTCAGGGAATTTCTCATAGATAGGAGGCAGAGGGTTGGGATAAACTCAAAATTCTCCTCTTGGATAGCAGTGCGCAGCGAAGTGCCACAAGGCACGGTACTCGGACCTCCCCTATTTATTTTGTATATCAATGAGTTATCTCTGTTCACCGACTCCCCTATGGTCCTCCTAAAAATTTGGAGAGAGCTGAAGGACAACAGTGATACGTCCACATTGCAAGAGGACCTTAACAAATTGTCAGTGGTCGATAGAATGGATTCTCCCCATCAATGTGGCAAAATGTGCAACCATGAGCATCGGACAAGCAAGCATCAGCTCCTACGAGGGAATAACACTTCCATCAGTTCAGACTCACTTGGACTTACGTGTCATAATTAGCCACGATTTAAAAACTACAGCACACTGTCGAGCGGTGGCTGCACGTAGTTTCAGGTCCTTATGGGCAATTCGCAGAGCCTTTACTAGAATCACCAGAGATATGTTAACCTCCTTATATACATCTCTGGTGAGGTCAAGACTAGGAAACTGTATCCAGGCAGCCAGTCCTTGTCTTAAAGGAGACTCACACATTCTAGAAAGGGTTCAAAGGAAGGCAACACGTATGGTGCTCGACATGACTAACTTATCATACGAGGAAAGACTAGACAGTTTAAATCTCTTTTCCCTGTCATACCGTAGGCAGAGAGGAGATTTAATCACAATGTTTAAAATTATAAATAATGACTACGGACCTGAGCTATTCTCTATTTTCCTTCCCACCAGGTTGGAACACCTTAGAGGACATAGCACGAGAGTTCAAAAGCCAAGAAGAAATCATATTGCTGTTGAGTACTGGTTCTCACACCCAATCATAAACTCTTGGAAACGACTCCCAGAAGTGGTGTCTGGAACCTCAATTGATTCATTCAAGAACGGTTTGGACAACCACAGAAATTTACTAGAAAAGGATTAACATAGGCTCCAAGCCTTCTATCCTTAACCAATAAATCTGAATCTGAAACGGAATCAGGTGTCCCAGTAAGTCATCACCTAGGAACTACAGTACACTACCTCACGGAGATAGCTGTCAGGTTTAGATATTAATGGGCAATACTTGGGGCCCTTACCAGAATCATCAGTGAAATGTTCACCACTTTACACACATCCCTGATGAGATAGAAACTCAAATATTACATCCAACCAATTTCATATGTTCTAGAAAGCGTTTGAAGGTGAGCAAAGCTCATGTTTCTTGGCATAGGTAATTTATCACACTGGGAAACCTGAAATTTAAATCACTTCTTTACACATCATAGGATGAGGAGATCGCATGTTCAAAATTTTGAGAAATGATTATGCATCTGTTATATCCCCTCTTTTCTCCCACCGATTCCGTATATCTAAGTGGATAGTATGTCAAACTGGTCCATTGGAAAAATAAATGTGTCCCTCTGGTTTAAACACAGCAAGCAACAATCGAAGTGAGAAAATTACTAATTACCGCCAAGCTCCATGGACACTGAATACAAACTGTTCCTTGAATTTTTAAAACAACTGAAAAAGTGGACTGGGATTGTCTGTCACGTCCAAGGTCATTGCTGAAGTGAGACGCTCAAAGGTCATTTTCGTCCGTGTTAGTCGGCCATGTTGGATTGCAGTTCCGTAGCCGTTCGTTTACACATTAGTTTTTACGTTTATCCTGCAGTTATTCACAACTTATCTTGATACGTATTGTTCACAAATGCACAAATGTTGCGTTTCACCTCATTTTTGTTTCCGTTGCTGTTAAAATTAGTTATTTCGTTTGTTTCAAAAGTTTTTACCACCAGGCCAGTGCGTTCATTTCATTGTGATAGTTCCATACGCTGCTTTCATTCGACTTTCAGTTTTTTAGTTTTTTTTCAGCTATTTATGAATTAGTACTGTGTAGCAGTTTAGGAAATTATGCGTGTGCGTCAGTGGCACAGTGGTTAGGACTCTCGCCGACCATGCACAGGGTCCGGGGTTCGATCCCCTGCCGACGCACACCTTTTTCGTGCTTTAGTGGTTCAGGAGTTGAACTCTCACCAACCATGCAGATGTTCGCGGCTCGATTTCCAGCTGGTGCACTTTATGCCTGGCGCCGCTAGGCAGTAGTGACCACATAGTTATTACTTTTATGTTCAGGATCCAGGCCGTCATACATAGGTCAACAGCCACTCGCCCAAACGTTTGGAAAGCGAATATACCTGCAATCCGAAATGCAGCAACCCTAGCTGACTGGTCTGTTAACACACACCAGACTGTCGAGGAGGCTTGGATGGGATTTAGGAATACACTAGAGTGCGTCACCACACCCTTTGTACCTTGGTCTACGCCTCGAAAATTATCTCATAAACCACCTTGGATTAGACCAACGCTTATGCGAGTGGTTTAGTGACTACCTGATGGATAGGAGGCAGAAGGTAAGGGTTAATGGTGTACTGTCAGGGTGGAAAGCAGTACTAAGTGGAGTACCTCAGAGAACGGTGCTTGGCCCCCTGCTATTCTTATTATACCTAAATGAAGTGCCAAAAATTCTTACCTCATCTTCCTTACTATTTGTGGACGATATTAAGATATGGAAAACCGTAAATAGTAGCGATGATAGGTTGGTACTACAAAACGATCTAGACAAATTAACCGAATGGGCTAACCTTTGGAGTCTGGAAATTAATTCCAAGAAAAGCGCGGTAATGCACCTAGGTCAGAAGTCTTACACGTCGTACTCCATGGGGGACACAGAACTGCCAGATGTTAGGGAACAAAAGGACTTAGGAATTATTGTTAGCCATGACTTAAAAACAACGGCAAACTGTAATCGAGCCGCAGCTAAGGCTTTTCGAATGCTATGAGCACTTCGAAGATCTTTCAAACGATTAGACGAGGGTATGTTCCAAGTACTCTATGCAACATATGTCAGGCCTCATCTAGAGTACTGCATACAAGCGGCGAGTCCATGCTTCAAAAAGGAGGCACATACCCTGGAAAGAGTACAGAGGGTAGGAACGAAATTAGTTAGTGGTATCTCACACCTTCCTTATGATAAGAGGATGGAGCATTTAAATCTCTTCCCATTATCATACCGAAGGAGGAGAGGCGACTTAATTTTGGCTTACCGTATATTCAAGGGTGATTTAGGGATAATAATAATAATAATAATTTGCTTTATTCCAAAACAGTACTTGTGATACAGAATGGAATTCTCAGCATTTTTACTACAGTATTGCATCCAGTTAGTACATTATCAATAAATAGAATTCTACATAGATTAAGGAAATCTCAGTTCATTATTACAACAATACATTGGCATGTCAGTAGCAAAGGTAAAGCTGAAACAGTGTTTGAAGGTGTTAGAAAAGTGGGAGCTGTCTTATTAACAGGCGTAAGCGAGAGAAAGAGACAAAGCAGCACATAACGGAAAAAGAAGAGAGAGAAAAGGAAAAGAAAGAAAGAAAATGTTGTACCTATTGATGATGTGGGTTGGAAAGACGAGATCCAGTTGTACTACTGACTATTTAATGAATTATAGGTGTCACGCCTAATGCTTTCTTTATCACACAGAACACGAGCTAAGTAGGGTATGGTTGAGTTTTTGTACTTGCTGGTGCGAGCATATAGTTTTCTATATTGGCTTCTGGTTTTACCTGATGAGATGCAGGGGGAGAGTTGTGAGTGAAGAGGGTGGTGTGAGTTAGATAAAATGGATTTGGCCCATTTTTCACATGAGTCCATGTGCCTGTCAACCAGAGTATTAGCAAGCTGGTTAAGTGGCACGTTGCTTACCCTGCTAACAACATTTAACATCCTGCGTAAAATGTTATAGTCTTTCTTCAGTAGCCCAGGAAAAACTAAGGGGGAACAATAGAGAATAATAGGCAGGATGCGAGAATTAACGAATTGTAGGAGTAAGGGTTGGGTAATACCAGAATGTTTTAACTTCTTGATGTAGAAGGTAAGACGGAATATTTTCTTAGAAATTGCTAAGATATGAGACGACCAGGAGAGATCAGCAGATAGAATGACACCTAGGTATTTAATTTCCGATTTAGTTTCTATTTCAGTGCCGTCTATGTTGCATACCTCGTAAGAGCCAAACAGTTTGTTTAGGTCGGATTTATGCCTAAAGGTGAAATTGACCGTTTGGCATTTGGAGGGGTTTAGGGTAAGACCATTTTCCTTGGACCACTGGCTGATTTCTGACAGAAAGCCATTAAGTTTAGAGCAGTCGCTTTGACATTTGATAGGCAAAGATACAGACAGATCGTCAGCGTATTTGACAAAATTAATGTCATTTGAAGATGGTAAGTCATGTAGAAAGAAAGAAAAGAGAAGTGGGGAGAGTACAGCGCCTTGGGGGACTCCGGCTTCAGTGAGTACAGCAGAGGATGATTTACCTTTGTACACGGTGTACTGCATTCTGTTTGAGAAGTAGGAATGCAACCAGTTAGTGACCCAAGACTCAGTTTTCGTCAAAGAGAGCTTATTTAGCAGGAGACATCTAGGAACAGAGTCGAAAGCAGAAGTGAAGTCAAGAAACGTGCAGCGGACGTACTTGGCACCTTTATCTAATGATGAGACAATGTTGTTGTGTAAGACAGCTGCAGCGTCTAATGTACTCCTACCCTGTCTATAGGCAAATTGTTTGGGGTCTTCGAAGTTTTTAAGGGAGGGTTCGAGTTTAAGAAGTATTAGTTTTTCCATAAGCTTTAGAAACGGGGAAGTGATGGCAATGGGTCTGAACTTTACGTTCTTGCCGTTTCCAGGTTTAGGGACAGGGACAATTTTGATGTCTTTCCATGCATCAGGTACGATATTTTTAGAGAAGGAAGCATTTAGGATGTTGGTTGACCTTTCAAACCTTTTCTCTCCCTCTAGGATACATTTACGGGGTCACCAGAAGAAGGTGCTCAAACCAAAGTCGAATAAAATACGTTTGGAGTTTAGATTCTCCCACAGAGTGGTCAACGACTGGAACTCCTTACCTGATTTGGTAGTAACAGCTCCATCGGTGAACGCTTTCAAAGAGAAACTGGATCTCTGCAGAGATATATATCGCGAGGATTAACATAGGCAACAAGAGCCTTCTATCCTTATAATCTGAATCATGAACATGTTTGGGTGGCAGAAGCTTTTGTTTCCAGTTCATTTGTTGGTTGCCGGTTTTTTGTTGCTGGCTCATTTGGTTACTTAACATATAGAAATCTCTGGAACTGATGTCTTTGGCGTTCACGTTTACAGCATGCAACAATCTACGAGTGAATCTGGTGTGGTGGGCACGACCAGAGTTGATATTAGCAAGGCTTTCGATGGTCATATTAATCCTTGAGAATTTAGAACCTGGGTTGAAGTTGAAAAAGCTTTGAAGCTTTTCGAGAAGGTAAATATGCCATCAGTGTCTGTTTTCAGTTAAAAAAATTAGATATATATTGTGAGAGAATCTAAATCAAACAAGTTTGACCCACATGAGAAGTGTGAATCTGCTGTGCTTGTGGGTATTTTTGGGAACAAAAAGAAACTGGAACCCCTAAAGGGCAAGTGTTATGTATGCTTATATATGCCTAATGTACTAGATCCAAATACATGAACTTGGACTGCCTGTAGTATAGTCATTGTTAACAGCCATTCAATTTGTTGCAAAACGGATTAAAAGGTGGATAACGATGATCTGGTGAGTGTACGAACTATCCCAGTTAAAGGTAAGACTTGAACGTTTCGGATTTTGGTCTAAAATCAAAGGTTTTTTCGAAGTAACAAAATAAGAAGCTGATTATCATTCGGGATGAAAACACTAGCTGAATACAGATTACTTGTTTCTGTTCAAATAATGTTTGTTATATCTCCGTATCTGTAAATATGGATGCCCACGATTTTTAAGAAAACCCTAAATAAATTTTCCTTAAACCATTGGTTTTCTTTTTCCTGGCGAAACATTTGTTGACACGATTAGAAGATTAGGTAGCAAAGTATGATGTTCTGTGATTGAAAATTGTAGTCGTTGTGTTTCGGATTTATATCGCGCGTCTAACTGTCATAACCATATGGTTATAGCTTTTTCCTCATGGTGCAGTATGATATCTAGAAATAATAAGCACAGTCTTCGGTAAATTTATTTTTACTTTTTTAAGTGACTGCAAATAGTGAGTCATTTGAGGTGATAGGATGAAAGCCTCTAAACGCTTTTGTGGAGATTAGGGTGTATTTACTTTTTTCGAGTAGGAGACGATCTTCTTACCAAAAAAGTTCTCAGAATTTCCAGTTTTACTTTGTACTTCAAAGGTAATGTTAAGTTGCTTACTAAGGTAGTAGTTATAGGAGATTACCTTCAGTAAGAACTATTTTAAGATAGCTACGTAGCTTTAGGTAATGCATCATAGAAGTGAGCAGCGTACTTTGATTGTGTGTAAATATATTAAGCGTTGTATAACTGGTCAAATCGTAGTTCCTACATACTAGTTAGCCTTATAAATAATGAATGTACCGTACAAACGTTTACTTTGATTTGCATACCTAGCTTATAAGCATTATACCTGCATGTGGTATACATTTAGGGCTAATGCGGTGTGTGATGAATTAGTCTGAGATACTTAAAATCAAACTTGATTTCTATATCACTGACATCAATTTTGCAACGGTCATAGAAGTTAACAGCTTCATCTAATAGTCTGACATTTGGAAAGATTTAGTTTAAGAGCATTTTCTGACCCCTGACAGAGAATTGTTCATCTTAGTACAGTGTAGCTGCGAATTAACAGACATTGGAATAGTTAGATCGTTCGCGTAGTTGACAAAGTTCATTTCGTATGCATATGTACATTAAGTTCGCCAAACAAATACAATTGGTGGTGGATGACTTCTGATATACAATGTAGTGCTTTCTCCCTGATAAATAAGAATGAAGCCATTTAACAATCCAACACTCAGTTTGAGTTTCAGAAAACTTATTTAACAAAATATCCCTAGGTACTGAGTCGAAAGCAGATGTGTAATCTAGGAAGGTGCAGCGAACAAATTTAGCCTCCTTTTCTATACTGGAGAGAATGTTGTGATGCGAGACTGCAGCTGCATCTAAAGTACTTCTACTGTGTTTATAGACAAATTGTATGGGATCGTTAAAGGCTTTAAGTGAAGTAAGAGTAACTTTTCCATAGTTTTTAGAAAAGGAGAGATAATGGCAATAGGTCTAAATTTAATACATGTCCCAGTAGATGACTTAGGTGTAGGTACAATTTTAATGTCCTTTCAAACGGCTGGCACGACATTTCTGGAAAAATATTCATTAAATATGTCAATGAGAGAATAACACAGAATATCTGCACATTTTTTAAGAATAAGGCTAGGCAAACAATCTGGACCTAGGCTACAAGAAGGGTGCAGCTACTGGAGATATTTTAGAACGTCATTTGTATTGAAAACAGGGAAGCAACTCTTACTAACATGTGTGACACTAGAAAGCTTGGTATTTGCGGGGGAAAGTGTGAAAAACTTGTTTAGTGTACACACATCAAATGAATAGGGAATACTGTAGGTAATAAGATGCATAAAGGCGTAAGTTATTTAGTATCCATAATGTAGATATGCAAACACTGCAGTTGTTGATCATAGAAATGATGGATATTAGATAACATCACATTATTCAATGGCATCTTAGAAAAATAAAAAATTGCTTCTTAGTTCATCGCCAAGTTAACAGTCTATTTGACGATGTCACTGCATATTAACAGATTAATGAAGTAGCTATCAAGCTAAAGTTACTACACTTACTTGTAATACATACTTGGCGTTTAGCAGTATACACACTTGCAACTGGCTAGATAATGCGACTTAAGCGTATCGAACAGTACAGAATTATTATTCAACTTGTTAAATCCTACTTAGTTTTTAAAACGTCCTATTGTATAGAAACAGAGGTGAAATCTTACGAATGACTAAAGTAACAGTCTCATAATACTGTAGTAAATCTACATCCCACTGACTAAGCTTAACATGCATTGACCCGAATTCATATATTACAAAAGCACATAGTACAGCAACGCACTGAAGAAGTCTAGAGGAAGTAGAAATCAAGAGTATATTAAACATTTCATTAATTTACAAAAGAAAATTCTGATGAAAGGTATTAGCGTTAATTTGACCGAATGATATTTCCGCTGATGTCATATTCGACAACCTCCGTATACCTGAAAAAAATAAAGCACATGTAAGGGCTAACACAACATGAAGTTATAAAAGATAATTCTGCTTATTAGCATACACTATGAATACACTGATTCTGTTAATACTAAGTAATATCTCATGTAAATAAATGTATTTGTAGTCCATAGCTTGTTTTTACATTGACACCGTAGGCACCAATAGACCGATTATGTTTTCCAGTATTAGAGGATTATACGCAAATTTCAAGACAATATCTGAAACATCCATATTGTTGAGGCGTTTTTCTCTTATTAAGATTACTTGCATATCAACTTCACACTAAATACGTTTATATTGAATAAAGTATTGCAAATGTACGACTTAGAAATTGATCCACAATCTCAGTAATGTCCAGTGAACAGAGTTTTATGAATCCTACAGAAATTGCATCCTCATATTTAGGAGACTATAGCCATCAAATATGAGCTGAACATGCCTTAACTCTAAACAGCTATGCATAGTGTTAACAACATAGAGAAACACTTAAAATATTACTAGATACGCAGACCTGTTGTGTTGATGAGGATAACAATGACATATAATGCAACCTAGGCATTCATTCGTGACACTACATTTGTACTGCTTTATGCAAATGGAAATTTCAGCAGAAATTGATCTCCACTATTGGTCATCAAAACTTTTGCGGCATTAAGTTTACAGTGTCAGTGGGAATGGCAGATTCAGATTATAAGGATAGAAGGCTCTTATTGCTTATGTTAATCCTTGCGATATATATATATATATATCTGCAGAGATCCAGTTTCTGAAAGCGTTCACCGATGGAGCTGTTACTACTGAATCATAACACAATAGACTGATAACAACAGACCTAATTAGAATCAGTCCTCATAATGAACACAGTCCATGTGTATAGTCATACCACACACTGAATTAATGCATTAAGTGAAACAGTAAGGAAATTTAAACGAGTGATTGCCTTCTCCACTGCACTGCACTTGCAATAATCATGACAACCACCTACGTTTGTTAGCCAAGCAGTCAACTAAGCAGACAATGTCACAATATTAATACAGTTGAGATATCTTTTATACATTGAGTCCACATAACTCATATTACGCTACACGAAACAGTGCAAATATACATGAAATACATTTAGAAATAACCTCTCAACTTACTATAATTCCTGTCCAAACACACATACGGTGAGACACATTTACATGATTACTTCTATTCCCACAGAAGGTTCTGTTAGCATTTACAGGTGATAAAATTCTTTTGCCAAAAAGTACTGTTCTTCAAAGGAAAATATGCTGTATTGATATCCTGAGACGTGAAGTCTTCATTGAATGACACTATGCCGAAAGGTGCAGCTTCTAAATAAAGTAGACTATTTGTGTAGATGACATTACCCTCCAACTATCCTATCTTCCTCATTATAGCGATATTTTGATACAGTCCACCTGAAACACTAATCGTTGCAACCAATATACTATGTGTGTCGCAGTCGGATTACATGACGTGGACAGCAACATATCAAGCCAGGAAATGGGAATTCCCATCAATCCAGATCACATACACCACAATTTTATTAAAAATTATTGACAAAAGAAATTTCCAAGCGAAATTTTGACAGAACCTGATCTATAAGTCCAAATTCATCTCCCCTATGGCTGACAGGCATCAAAAATAAGATCCGGATTTTCAACTCCAACGTGAAGTCAGTGCTACCATACGGATCAGAGACTTGGCGCGTCATAAAGAGCATCTCAAACAAACCACAGACCTTCATTAACAGCTGTCTTCGCCCAATACTCAAGATCAGATGGCCAGAAAAGATCAGCAACAGAGATCTCTGGGAGTGAACCAACCAGGAACCGATTGTGAAACAAATAATCAGAAAGAAATGGAGATGGATTGGCCATACTTTGAGGAAACCATCAAGTGACATCACTAGACAAGCCTTCGAATGGAACCCGAAAGGGAACCGGCGAGTTGGTCATCCAAGGGTGACTTGGAGGAGGTCATGTGAAGAGGAGATGAAAACGTTTGGGCAAACTTGGAGCCAGATGAAGACTCTAGCAGAGGACCGAACGCAATGAAGACGCACGGCTGAAGCCCTATGTTCCTCTAGGAATTAAAGGAAGCAACAATAATATATATATATATATATACTATTTTTATTTTATTCCTCTGCATTCCCAGCGGAACACTGGGCTTCAAGCTAGAGCTTTGAATTTTCAGTAATAGTGATCGTTTTTACGGGATGGGGTTGCTAACCCTAATTAAGCCCAACCTTCCCTCTTTACTGAGATTATATATGTATATATACATTGGGTGAATGACTTTATAGCATAGGTGGTGCTATGATTAATGCAATTTGATATGTTTAATAATGATGAAATTATGTCAGTACTGAGTAGCTCTTATAGC